CAGACTGACAATACAATAACTCCTTAAGATACGAGTTTAATTCGTTCCAAGACCGAGCTCGTAACTCAAAACACTCGTATTTCAAATCAGTTTTCCCCATTGAAATTAATGGGAATATTTCCGATCCGTTCCAGGCACCAAAAAATCACTTTTATTTTCCTAAAAGTTAACCATATTTTTTTTTATATTTGTGGGTTTCTTACCAATTAAAACGTGAATAATCAAGAAGTGTAGTTTACAAATAATAAAATAAAAGAGAAAAACAAATTGTAAAGAAATAATCTGTACTGAACCATAAAGTCATAGACCAACTGGCAGAGAAAAGAGAAGGACAACAACAGCTAACCCATCAATCTCTGACCTTGCCTAACAACGGCTAGACTAGTCTACGATACCGAAGATATATTTTATTACTCAGTTTAAAATTTTCGTTAGGTTAATTTGCAGTTTAGCATACGCGCTCAGTTCGCATTAAAAACTTCTAAAATACTTACATTTATATGTAATTGTACCTACTTCATTGGAATCTGGCTTGATAAATTTGTAAAATCTACGATTTTGAAGTTATCGACAGAAAAATTTCGAATTCATTCACGTCGCGGACAGCCATTGCTGGCGTTGTTTGCATATATTCACTGCGGTATAGCTATGAATAAAGTATTCATTTGTCTTGATTACTACGCATACAAAATAGTTCTCTCGCGCAGTAATTGAAACAAGTAAGATCAGTAAAAATAAGGCCGTTAAATACGTTCTTCCGCGCTTGGCTTTCTGCGGCGAAATTATGCAAACGACGCCAGTAATGGCTGCCGCCAACGATGAGAAGGAATCCGAACTTTTACCGTCGATATGTCCAAGACGGTAAATTTTATCAAATTTATCAAGCCAGATTCGAATGAAGCATGTACAATTACACATAAATGTAAGTATTCTGGAAATTTTTACTGCGAACTGAGCGTAGCTGCAAAAGGGGATATACCATATCACAGACACGTGGATGAAGCAACCTCATAAACTTCTGGGCAGTTCGATATGGTGTAAGGGTTAGCAAACTTGTCAGGTTAGATCAGTTATGATTGAGTAATGAGTTCGATCCACATTTCATGCTCCATATTTTCGGTCTTGTGCCATATCTAATCTACAATTAGTAAATCGCCATTCTCATCTGACGAACAACAAGCAGGTTACATTCGAACACTTTCTTATCATCTGCACGTCATTTATTACGTTCACACAATATTACACAGTATCCCTCTACATTGAACGGCTATCGGGCCTTGTATTGGTTGAACATTAACATAAAAATAAATGAAAATTTTACAGAAAAGTTTGATCTAAAGTCAAGAACATACGAACATAGAAATTGTTTTAATTATTTCACCCCAGGCAAGACTGCAATGCCACTAGGACACGGGTAGGGTGGAGGTGGTTACAAGCAGTGAAAGTGAAAGTGAAAGTGAAAGGGAAGGTGGTGACTGAGAATAGGGAGGATTGCAGGGAGGACAAAAGATGAACGGGACTCAAGAAGACAGAAAATAGCGATTGACATTGTATTAAATTTTTTGAAGATTTTAGTTATCAGGTAAGCAAACGAAAGGGAATTCTACGGGGCTGGGGAAGTAAAAGAAAAGAAATTGCAGGGTTTGGAAGTGGCGGTTGCATTTAGCTATTTCAACAGTAAATCGTTGGGACCTAGTTGCCAACCTAGCAACACGCGTACATTCGTGTAATCCGTTCACCATGGAGATATTTGAAGAAAAGCCACGTCACGTCGGTGAGAAAGTAACTGAAGTCGAGATGCCTGCTCAGGATCGATTATGTCTCAAATCCTTCTTTAGATTCGGTCAAGAACCGCGAAATGAATAGCAGGAGCACCAGATAAGATATGACAGCAGTATTCAATACACGGGTAATTGTAGATTTGTAACTGTACAAGATGGATTCTGAGGAGAAAAATTTCTAGCACGACAACTCATATTAAAAAATGCCTCAGATAAACTGGAGCCAGAAAAATTTGTACAAATAAAGCGCAGTGTACGTGTGTCCGTCCGTTCGTCCCATTTTCGATCTCGATGAATCATAAACAACCTGAAGTAACAGTCCGTAACTATTGTAGTTACACGCGATGCGAAATAAATGTAAACAAACTACGGAGATCGTTTGCATATACGAAGAAAGATTATGCCGAATTAAGGTGTCGAATAAAGATAAAATAATTTTATTATTTCTAAATAACTTTTACGTACATAGGACGCTAAAGGTAAAAGGCAGAAGTCCCAAAAGCCCTTCGCAGGAGCAAGCCTAAATTCCGCCCAAAGAGTAGCTTCTTGGCTAATGTGTAAGTAAATACTTTTCTTGGCTATGAAAATTTTTCAGGGTTTTATATCTGCGCCTGAACTATTACCAAAACACTTTTATGAAAAGCACCAGAATTCATGCTGTCCACCTGAAGTGGAACAACTATACTGAATCTATAGCTTCATCTACCGAAAGGCAAGTTGGTTCTCTGTGTCGCACCAGAAGGTTTTTCCCGCCTGAGTCCATCCTTCAAATCTACAAATCAACCATTTGTCCTTGCAGGGAATACTGCTGCCTTATATGGTCTGATTCTCCCGCTATTCTTCTCAAGGTCCTCGACAAAATCCAGAGACGGATCTAGCATCTCGTCTACAGTCACATTCTCACAGACGTGCTGTGGCTTCCCTCTGTCTTTTTCTACAAGTATTTCCATGGCAACTGCTCTAACGAGCTACTTTCACTGGTTCCCAAACCACATGAATTTAAACGTGCTACAAGGTTGGCATCTCGGTCCCACCCGTTCACTGTCGAAACGATTAATTATAGCGATCTCTTCTACTCAAAAAGCTTCATGCCTCGCACTTCACGTGAGTAGAACTCCGTTCCTATCACTTGCTTCCCTGATAGTTATAATCTTCAAATCTTCAAATGTAATGTCAGTCGACATCTTCTGATGCCTTGACCTTGATCCCCATGCTTCTCTTTATTCTTTTCCCAAACACTTCTCTTCAGTCTTTACTCTTACTTTCATTCTATGTAACCCCTTGCGTGCTTGTGGCACTCCCGCCTTGCTTGGGGTGAAATGCATAAATATATATATGTTATGGGACCTTACCCATAATAACATAATAAAATATTCAATACGTAATAAATACTGCGCCTCAGGAGGAAGCAGGGAGTTCAGTCTTAAGTCGGGTGACCAGCTGACGTACTGATAGGTTGAACTCTCTACCTTTGGGCGGGGAGGAACTTGAACGAGGCTACGCCGAAGTGTGGGGTCTCTTTCGGGCAGGTAAACTGACCCTGAACCCGTCTATACGGGTTCAAAGGGCACCTTTAACTGGTGTTGTGCCACATGATACCCTCGTGGGTGGGGTGACTAAATACTGTTCAGTCTGAATTCTAGAGTTAAGTCTGAAGTCTGGAGTGAAGTCCATCAGGAGTCGGTCAGTCAGTCAGAGCGAGTCAGTCAGTCGAGTCAGAGGCAGTCCGGAACAGAGTCGCGTTCAGACAATTACTACTAAACCTGATTGTTCGTACTAACACTTTCTACTTTTCTGTATATATTCCTGTTTGTAATATATCTGTGTTATTCCATATCCGTATTCGAGTTCTTTTTTATTGGTTCTACCTTGGACTATCACCGTGGTACAAGGAACCGGACCATAACAATATATATATAATTAAGTTAAAGAAATATGAATTTGAATAAAATAAAATTCATCTAACTGTAAAAGTCATCAAGTTGCAAAATCATCGTTCCCAAAAGGGGCACAATTAAAGCTGACGTGAAATACTGTCTCCCCGATAGACATTCTAATTTACCACTTGGTGTTGCAACGATTTTTTCAGGTAATCAGAGATCAATGACACGTTTCCACAAGGCCATCAGTTTGGTGTAGTTGTTGAACATGCAGCTAGAATAAAATACACCGGAATGGCGGCTGCTAGTCTAGTCTAGAATATTATTGATGAATATTTGCTACAAGCTTACTTGCTTACCTCCCTTGGCACACATCCAGTTCTCAAGGAAATACGGTTGTCTCCCTTGGATTATATGCCTTTTTGTCAATAGTTGTAATTTATTAAATTTAGTTTAGCTTTGCATAGGACAATAAAAAGGGACCCTCACTGAGAATCGAATTCACTACTCAGCAACAGTAGAAATTATCAGACTGGCTAACTCACAAAACTTCGCACTAATTAAGTTCTTTCTTTCAAGTAGGTCCTTGAAGACCATTGTTATTCTGTAGTCTTCTGCGACCGATGAGATAAACGTACCGCGCCTCATGACCGACTCTCCTGTCTTACTCTCTATCTATATATATTTACTTCAAAAAATCTATATAACCTAAACATAACAGCTGATCATTTTAAAAAAATCACATGAGGTTCACGCTGTACAAAGCCCGGGAGCCACTTGAGTAACATAGAGGAAGAGGTACATTTCATGTGGATAGGGCGGGAAGATAACGGTTAACGCTAGACTTGAACAGGTTGATTGTAGTGGTCAGGGAAAACATCCTCTTGGGAGTTGGTTCCACTGAGAAATGGTTCGCGGGAAGAAGCTACACCACTGGAACTTACTTCTCACCGAAGGGATACGAACAGGATGTGGGTTGTTTGCCACAATAGGCGTGGCATGACAGATCCCGCCCGTGAAGGTTAGATTTGGCTGAACTAAGGAATGTAGTTCAACTGAGCACTTTCCATGGAAATAGCGATAGAACAGTGAGAGGCTTGACACATCCTGCCTGTGGGAGAGCGGTCGGAGTGTGGGGAATAATTCGTCACTCACAATGTCTCGGAGACGCTTTTGGACTTTATCGAGGCTGGAGAGTGGGGTCTATGAAGTCCCCGCCCAAATATGGCAACAGTACTTCATTCTTAGCCTAATTTGGCTCTTGTAAAAGCAGACGAGAGCACGAGGAGTCGGGTACTTACTGAAGCGGTACAGGAAACCAGACATTATTCCGGCATCTTTAGATGGTTGAGATAGATAGATAGATAGATAGATAGATAGATAGATAGATAGATAGATAGATAGTAAGAAACATACTGAGATAGATAGATAGATAGATAGATAGAGAAAGAGAGAGAGATGAAGTGGTTAAAAAAAAGAACAAATGAAACATTCTGACAAGAGAGAGAAAGAAAGAAAGAAAGTAAGATGAGCTGAGTAAGAAAGAAAGAAAGAAAGAGTGTGTCATGTTTGACTTAGATAGATAGATAGATAGATAGATAGATAGATAGATATGAACAGACTGAGAAAGAAAGAAAGAAAGAAAGAAAGAAAAATGAATTAAGAAAGAAAGAATGAAAGACTGTGGCAAGGTTGAGATAGATAGATAGATAGATAGATAGATAGATAGATAGATAGATAGATAGATAGATAGATAGAAATAAGAAAGAAAGAAAGATGGACTGAGTAAGAAAGAATGAATGAAAGACTGTGACAAGATAGATAGATAGATAGATAGATAGATAGATAGATAGATAGATAGATAAGCTCCCCAAACCCACCATAACTTTCGGAACGGTTGCGTAGTGAAGTTGGTGATAGATAGATAGATAGATAGATAGATAGATAGATAGATAGATAGAAATAAGAAAGAAAGAAAGAAAGAAAGATGGACTGAGTAAGAAAGAATGAATGAAAGACTGTGACAAGATAGATAGATAGATAGATAGATAGATAGATAGATAGATAGATAGATAGATAGATAGATAGACAGGCTCCCCAAACCCATTATATCTCTCGGAACGGTTGCGTAGTGAAGTTGGTGATAGATAGATAGATAGATAGATAGATAGATAGATAGATAGATGGACATTCGAATTTGACTAATATTGATTCCTTTTTCTTCAGATTTTCCAGGTCGCTGTCTTCCCGTCTTGGAAATGGATGACGGTTACAAAATGCCTGAATCTATGGCGATATGCAGATATTTAGCTCGAGAATATGGTAAGTAGTTTAAATACAAAATCCGTCAATGTTTCTTTGAAGAAGTCCCGACGAGAATACTTATTATAAAACAATATCAAAATCTCTTTCCTGGCTATATATAAGACAAATATTTCAAGTGGCTATGTGGCGCCTAACACTTACTGCTATTCGACCGAAATACCTCGCTGCCCATTTCCAGCAACATTCGTCTGAACATTAACCCTAATAGCTCTGCTACCCACAGACGATAGGTAAGATCACAGGAAATGGTGGTCACTTTCAAAGATTGCTAAACAAAATGATCTTCAGAAACGATAATCCTCCATTTTCTCCACGTTTATATAAAGCGGCCTATTTTTTGTGCAATTTTGCCTTAACAAAATGCAAAAAAAGTAGAGCCACTCACGCGCATGTGCGCACACACAAATATACATATATGGCGGGATAAAAGTAGCGACAAAAACAAATTATTACTCACTGTAAAGTGATGAATCGAAAAATGCAGCGAAAAAGAAAAAGATCGATAAACCGTCCCTGATACTTACAAAGGGAATGCTGCTCAGACATAATATATAGCATTCTCAATATATAATAACCAATAGACTAATTTAAAAAGAATATATTTATCATATTGAATATTTTTTTAATAGGTTTCTACGGCAGAACCAACTTGGAAATGCTGAGGTGTGATTACATCTGCGACTGTTTATATGAGCTCATGGATGATTACATGAGATACTTCCACTGGAAGAACGGACGCTTCAGGGTGAGTCAGTTATTTTGAATCTACTCAACATTACATGTCTGCATCTTTCAACACACTATCTATAGAAATGGATAAGCAAATAGGCTATAGCAAAATGATAATTACGACTAAAAGACATTAGCTAAGACGAGTGTCGAGTTCTTTGTAAATAAAGAATGCTTTTATGAAATTATGCACGATTACATGAGGTACTTCCACTGGAAAATCGGATGCGTCAGGGTGAGTCAGTTATTTTGAATCTACTCAACATTTCACATCAACATCTTTCAACACACTATCTATAGAAATGGATAAGCAAAGAGACTATAGTAAAATGATCATTAAGACTAAAATACTTTTGCTAAGAAGAATTTCGAGTACTTTGTAAGTAATTAATACTTCTATGAAATCATGCACGATTGCATGAGATACTTAGACTGGATGAACGGACGCAAGGAAAGAGTCTGTATTAAAATATCGATCGATAGATAGTATATATATATATATATATATATATATATATATATATATATATATATACGTTTCATTAAATAATATAGACAAGTGTTGTCTATTTTATGTAAATTTTTTTCGTAACGTCTGATAAGTTTAATAACATTATCGTTGAACGAAGAAAGAAATTCACAATATTGATCCATATTTTTTTAAAACAATCTAAGCATTCGGTAAACACAAAGTGACGACAAAGTGACAACCAATCCCAAATTAAAAACTGTTCCCGCCAAAAAAATAATAGTTAGAATGAACTACAACAACCAACCCCAAAATTGAACAAATAGCTTTAATTAAATTCTCAAACCAAAACAAAACTGTTAAATACGTGATATAAACAAATTTTTACTACGTTAATAAATAAATGAATAAATAAAATAAGAAAAAAAAAAAAAAAAACGAGCAATATAATTTGACCCAAATAAATAGACAAAGCGACTTCCAAAAAAATAACCGCCATAATAGAATACCCACAATGCACCACTAACCCGTATATATATAAATAGCCGAGAAAAATAACAGCATATGTGGCCTGACGATTGCATATATGCATGAAACAGACTGTCGCCTCTAAGTGTTGACTTCTATGTTCACTTTTTTATATATATATATATATATATATATATATATATATATATATATATATATAATTATTTATTTAAAATATGATTCCAATTCGCGACATAAGAGGTCTCATGTTTCAAAATATAATTATTTATTTAAAAATATGTCGCGAATTGGAATCATATTTTTAAATAAATAATTATATTTATGCTCTACTTCTGTATCGAGCACTATTTTTTAAAAAATAATAACTAAAATACTAAGGACTTTTGTATTATTTACCTAACCAGTTCTTTCCTATTTGCTATATATTTTCACACACACACACACACACACATATATATATATATATATATATATATATATATATATATATATATATATATATATATATATATGTAATTATTTTTTTAAATATACAACATCAATCAGTTAGAGTTTTTAAGATAGTAATAAAAACACAGGAGCCTGATAACATTAGCCATTGTAACAAAAAAAAACAAAAAAAAAAAACAAACTTACACGACTCCAAAGACTTGACATATAAAAATCCCCTACTTTTATCAAAGCAGAGACTCCTTGATAATGAAAAACTAACCCCATATTACTCCTCCATTTCTAAACTATAAATAAGTAAAACATTTCGTTGCTTAGTTATTTCAAACATCGCTGGAGGATGAAACAGTCATCAAACAGTTAAGATTTAATATTGAAATTAAACTTGAACACGGATAACCAATTTCGAAACATAGTAATTTCTCTATTGCGATGGAGTCATATTTTTTTAAAATTATTATAATTAAGGGTGTACTTCTGTATCGAGCACTGTTTTTTTTTTTAAATAAAATAAGAACAAAAACACTAACGAACTTAGGACCATCAATCTAACAGTTCTTTCCTATTATATCAATACACAAACACGCAGGCACACAAAATATATATATATATATATATATATATATATATATATATATATATATATATATATATATTAAATTTTTTATATTTAACGTTCTTTTTTATAGATACAAGTATTTAAGTAAATGCTTTTTATAATAAACAGTATTAAATAACATTTACCGGCCTGAATGTCCGGGAGAAATTTTCGCAGAAAATATTCGTCCTTTTGACAGGATTCGAACCTGCATCCTATACGGAATATTTTCTATGAAAATTTTCGGACATTCAGGCCGGTAAATGTTATTTAATACTGTTTATTATAAACAAAGCATTTACTTAAATACTTTTATTTATAAAAAGAACGTTAAACATAAAAATCTTTTATTAAATAAATTGTCGGACTTTGTCCATTTCTTAATATATATATATATATATAAAGGAAAAAAAATCAATAGAAAAACTGTAGTTTAACCCGACGTGTTTTGTCCAATGTAGACTTTTTTCAATGGCCAAAAACGAAATGAAATTATTGAAACAAGGTATCTGTAAACAACAAACAAAAAATGTCTTTAGCAAGTAGAATAATTTACAAACGCTATATATATATATATATATATATATATATATATATATATATATATATATATATATGCGACATATTTATTACTATCCACTAAATATATCATTTGAAGTAATAAAACTGTCTCATTAATAATTAACTGGGATTGGCTAGTCGCCTCAGCAGGTGTGCTTGGCATTGAATAACTCGCAAACCTCTCCTCCATTAGCATCTTTAGTTACATCAAAGTAAATATGACTTTAGCCAGACAAAGTCTTAAAGAATACAACATGTCACATTTTTACACTTTGAATATATATTTTTATCATGGTGGAGAATATTAATACTAGCAATAAAAAATCCCAGACAAACTGAAGAGTAGTTATAGAGTAGGTCATCTAAAGGAAAGAGAGTGCTATATAACCTTAAAGGACCACAAACCAGATTTCGAGGCTAATCCGACTACAAGGATAAGAAACCCAATACGACCTGATATCGGAAAAAAATTAGTAAAAAGATCCTTGAAAGGGTTAATCAACAAATTAAAGAAAAAATAGGCCTGAAACTTTGGATTAATACCAAAGACGCGACAAACTGGTTTGCTTATATAAAGGATAAAACGAACTGTACACTAATGCAGTTTGATATTGAAAATTATCTTCAGTCAATATCTAAAGAACGGTACAGGTATGCCTTGGATTTTGCTAGCCAGTACATGGATATTACTGAAGAAGAAAAGAGCATTATTATAAATGCGAAAAAATCGGTACTGATTCATAAAGTTGAGCAATGGATAAAAAAATCTTATGACCACTTTGACATCACAATGGGATCACTAGACTCAGCTGAGTCTTCTGACCTTATAGGTATTTTTATATTATACAATGTCACAGCGTACAGTGAACTTAATATAACTGATATTGGTTTATACAGAGACGATAACTGTCCTCTACAAAATAAATGTCGCACGGAATCATAAGTATACCAATGCAATATCTCATTTATTGAGAATCCCGAAAACAAAAAAAATCTATATAGGTTGCACAAGCCATGAGTTCAAAAAGAGGTTTAATCAACATCAAACTTCATTTAGGGTAAATAAATACCGAAATATTTCTGGCACTTACACCAATAAAACACCTACAGTAAAATGGAAATTAATAAGAAAAGCTAGAATATGTAGGTCATTAAATGATCCATGTTCTTTGTGCATACATGAGAAACTATATATTACTAAGATTATAAAAAATAAAAATTTACAGAATCAAGGAAATGAAATAGCTATCTTTTGCCGACATTGTCAAAAAATTTTCCTTAAATAATATTTAAAAATAAAATTAAAATAAAAGAAAATAGGAGCTGGTTATATACAAGGTAACCAAAAATGTTCTGTCCGTTTTTAAAGGAAAAAAAGAAAACGCTTCACAGTATGTATAACTTATTCAGATAAATTTAGTCTCTGAAGTAATCGCCATCGGCATCCAGCACCTTCTGCCAACGTGTCTCCAGCTGTTCAATACCTTTGCGGTAGAACTCGGGGGGGGGGGTTGACGCAAAGAAGTCCGTGAGGGCTTTGCGGAAGTCTACTTCATTGGTGAGGGATTTC